GGGGGGGGGGGGGGGACACGGGCTGAGGGCCAAATGGCGGCCTTCTGCTCGCGGGACATACACACACTCAGACACCACTCTCAGGTGAACACTTGGACACACATACCAATGCGCTTCTTAACCTCCACCCTGCCCCCAGCTCCCTGCCTCTCACCCTGCTCTCCTTTTCCATCCCACTTACCCAGCATAGCCAGATAACGTTTATAGTGTTGTTTATGGTTTGTCTCCCTGCCGGAAGGCAAGCTCCAGAAAGGCAGGGTGCTTGACCTGCCTTGTCCACTGCTATATGTGCTATATGCTTAAGTGATCAGTAGGTAAGAACCTGGTGGCTCAGGTGGTAAAGAATCTGTTTGCAATGCAGCAGAATTGGGTTTGATTCCTGGGTCAGGAAGATTCCTTGGAGAAGGGAATGGCAACCCACTCCAGTATTCTTGCCTGGAGAATTCCATGGGCAGGGCAGTCTGGCGGGCTACAGTCCATGAGTTGTAAAGAGTCAAACACCACTGAGCACGGATGCACGCACATAAGAACTGAGCGAACAAGTGAACCCTGCAACCAGTGTGTGCCACCTGGTGCCTACGCAAACATGCCCAGTGGCCCACAATACTGCCACAGATGTTCTCAGACACTGACGTTCTCAGTCACATGCATACAGGCACTTGCTCACCCCCGGACTCACACATCCATACAACACACAGCTACATGGACCTTGCTGCCACTCACAGGTTCTTTCAGATTCACACCCAACCGTCTAGGTTCCAAGGTTTGTACTCCTGCAGACACATGCCAGCATGTCCCTGCTCCCCACCCTCTCAGCTTTTAAAAGTTGATTATATTTTTAAAAGATCTGTTTAAACATTTACATTTCATCTGCTTGTTTTGCTTGATCAAAATACACTGAGATTTGTTTTTGTGAGTTTCCAGTCTGCAATGTTATGATTCTGCCAGTGGGCATTTGTGTGTTCTGATAATGTTTTTAAAGTTCATTGATTGTTTTTTTTTGCTATGGATCAGTACTTCCTTCCTCTTATTGCCAGTAATATTCCATTGTGAGATTAGACTGAATTTGTTTATCCAAGTCACTTCATGGCCTTCTCAGTTGTTCCCATGTTTTGGCTGTCACAGCTCATGCGGCTGTGAATGTTTGTGTGTATTCGTTTTTGTGTTGGTGTTTTACTTTCGCCTCTCTTGGGTAGATAGATAGCTAGAGTGGAATTGCTGTTATATGGTGCTGTGTTAATAATCTTCAGGAGTTTCTGGAGTGTTTTCCAAAGTGGCTTCACTATTCTACCTTCTCTCCAGTGGTGGTTGAGAGTTCCAGGTTCCTCACATCCTCTCCAACACTTGCTCGTCTGTCTTAGAGCTCTTCTAGTGGGTATGAAGAAGTATGTGTGGTTTTCATGTGCATCTCCTTGATGACTAATGTCCCATTTTTTTTTACCCCTTTGGCCACACCGCACAGCTTGCGGTATCTTGTTTCCTGACTAGAGAGCCAACTGAGCAACTCAGGCAGTGAAAGCGCTGAGTCTTAACCCCAGGACTGGTAACAAACTCCCTAATATTCCACATTTTCAGGAGTTTGATTAGCAAGCCCCAGTTGCAGCCCAAGGTTAGGTAGCCTTGTCTTTGTAGCTGATATAGTAGGAATTTTATCATGTAGATTTCCAGAATGTATCTTTGATTAAAATTCTAATTTATAAAAATAATCATTTGCTTTGTATTTCAGGGGTGTAGTGTCAGCCTATATTGTCCTAAAGACAATTTTTCTCTGTGTTCAAGTTACCTTCGACTCTGTTGCCATCAGATCTTCTGCAGCTCTTCCTTGTACTCCGGGCACTTGGTTATTTATCCGAGAGACCCTGCTGGCTCAACCAGTCCCTCAGGAGCCTGGCCTCCTCTTAACCCCACGTTAACTCTACAGGTGTCCCAGGCCCGGGACCCTGACCTGTGCCCTTGGTGTCCACTTCATCCTGCAGAAGTCTCTGTGTTTCTGTCAGATATGAGGGGACCAGACCAGGCTTTTACAGCTGTTTCAGTCAAAGTGAAAGTTGTTCAGATGCAGTGGTCCTGGGAAATCTGTGTCCACAACCTCCTGACAGTATGTATGCTCCCATTCTTGGAGAATCAAGGAAGTAACTTACAAGTAGGCCACATATCCATTTCCAAGTCATCTGAATAAATTATTTCATTTTCAGTATTTCTCCAGCCTCATGATCTGCTCTATTTCATTAAAAACAGTTCTTTTTCATTATGTGTGTTTATCAGTTATTGCTGTTACACAGTTTCATTGTCCAGCACTCACCATCACTGAGAAACCTGCATTAGATTTGCTGGCATGTGATCACTTCCTGCAAGAGTATAAGCTCAGGAATCCTAGGAACTGAGTCCAGTTCCCACCTGTCGGCCTCCCCAATCCTCCCACACTCGGGGGTGAAGGAGGAGCCTCGCTGACACAGAACATGTGGCTGTTTCAGGACTCAGTGGTCTTTGAAGACGTGGCTGTGAACTTCACCCTGGAGGAGTGGGAACTGTTGGACCCTGCTCAGAGAAAGCTCTACAGAGACGTGATGCTGGAGACCTGCAGGAACCTGGCCACTGTGGGTGAGGACGGCTTCCTCCCTGCACTAAGTCTTTAGCGAACAGTTACTTACAATGTCCTTTCTTATGAGTGATGAGGATGGGAATATTTTGAAAAAGATATGGTCCCCACCTATTTAGAACCTACCTAGAGTAGATAGCTTTCCCAACAGTGTGACTGTACTGAATTGATTTTTATTACTCTTGATCAGAATCCTGAGGCTCCCTAATTTCAAAACTGTGAGCATGGTCTCCAGTGTCACCTTGGGGCAGTGAGAGAAGCATAATGGTTTTTACCCTGTGAAAGTTATCCTGTGATCAGTACACATTTGAGATGATCTTGCTGCAGTTAAAACCTACACTTAACCTGTCCTCCACCCTCCCCAGAAGGAGCATTCTCTAGGAGCATTTTGGCAGCCGCACTCTGTCCCACCTACCAGGGGCAGCTGGGTCCATGGACTTCACCCAGGGCCTCTGTACCTGCGATCACCAGGGAGCACACCTGCTCAGGAGGACCAGGTTCTGGGTCAGGGAGGGATATTTGGACGTATGTGTTAGGAGCACAGCTCAGGTCTCTGAGAAGGTGATAGGTGTCATTAACTTGGCTTCCCTCTTGGAGTTTTCATCCATTCTTGTCCACTTGAAGTCTTTTTGGAGTTTCTCTGACAAAGGGATCATTCGGGAAAGTGCATTTTGCCCAGTTCCTTTTTACTTTGCTTCTGTGAGGTACTTATTAGTGAACAGATTGCCATTTTGACTCATTTTCCCTATGATGGCCATCACTCTCTCCTTGGGTTAATATATTAATATAGCTCACAGAACTCAGAGAAACATGCTTCTTACTAGATCACAGGTTCATTATTAAAGGATATAATTCAGGAACAGCTAGATGTAAGAAATGCATCTAGATTTGAAAAGGAGTTTCCGTGCTTCTCCAGGTGCCAGTTTCACCACATCTCTATGTGTTCACCAATGCAGAAGCTCTCCAAACCTTTTTTTCATGCCTTCATTACATAGGCATGGTTGATGAAGTCACCGGCCATTGCCAGTTGATTTGATCTCTAGCTGCTCCCCCACCCCCAGAGGTTTGGGGGTGCTGGGGGATATGGGTGGGACTGAAAGTTTCAACCCTTTATAATCAAGTGGTTGTCTTTATTGGCGATTAGTCCCAATACTCAGGATCTTTGCAACAGTTTCTTTCACTAATATAAACTCAATTGGGATGGAAAAGGCTTGTTATGAATCATAGGAAACCTATTAAATCTTTCTGATCCTGAAGCATTTTCTGGAAATGAGCACAAGAGACCACATATTGTTGCTTTTATTGCTCAGGAAATTTCAAGGGTTTTGGGATCCCTCAGCAGGAAACAGTGGATAAGGACCCAGTTTATTTGAGAAGTACATGTTGGTCATCTCAGTGACCAAATGTGTGTGTGTGTGTGTGTATGTCTGATAGATCACAATATCACACATCTCCTTCCTTCCTTTATAAAATTATTTTACATTTTTGAATGAGTCTATGGAGACAAATCTAGCTATGGTCTCTCTTTCCTTTCCCCCACCATTTCTTTCCCAATGATTTAATTATGCTTCCAATCATTGCAGGTTCTTGCCCGCAAGTTAAGGTCAATATGTCAAGTCCTCAGTGGGATATTTTGGAGACTGGACTGTGCATTGAACGGGAAGTTGTAAGATTCACAAGAAATGACTCTAGGTCTGTTTTGGGAGAAAACTGGGCATTTCATAACCTGCGAGATCGGCATCTAACTGAGGAGAGATGTGTGAGGTGAGTGGCACTCCCACAGGGAGAAGGGGGACGAGGGATCTCAGCAGAGTGTTAGACTCATGTGATGGTAAAGAAAGGTGTGAAGTTGCTCAGTTGTGTCCGACTCTTTGCGACCCCATGGACTGTAGCCCACCAGGCTCCTCCGTCCATGGGATTCTCCAGGCAAGAATACTGGAGTGAAAAAAAAGAAGAGTGGGTTGCCATTTTCTTCGCCAGGGGATCTTCCCGACCCAGGGATCGAACCCAGGTCTCCTGCATTGCAGGCAGATGCTTCAACCTCTGAGCTACCAGGGAAGCAGCTAAACAATTGTAAAGTTAGCTAATAAACAATTGTGTACTCAGAATTTTTACAAAACAATACTTTTATAAATGTGCTATAGATACTGAGCATCAGAAACTTAATTCAGTAGGAAACAATGATTAGAAAACCTCGTGTAAAAAACACTGAAAGTTATGGCTCTTTGAGCCCTCAGCCAGAGCATTAACCTTTGTTGCACTTTGTCACATCACAGAGTGCTGAAAACATGCCCATTTATTGAAAATCACAAATATATAGTCAAAATAATCATGAATAACCATAAACAAATCATTAATCCCTAATAATTCACTTCCTGTTTTGACCAGAAATCATTTGGTGGAAAGTCTCTGTGAAGGTAAAGAAGATCATCAATCTCTAAAAACTCCAAACAGGATTATAGATCTTACTGTGCATGAGAGGTATCAGATTAAAATTCAGCCTCATCAATGCATTACATGTGGAAAAGCCTTCAGGGATCATTCCTTGAAGAAGAATCAGCAAAAGTCTCACACTGGACAAAAACCTTATACATGTGAGGAATGTGGACAAACCTGCAGCTGTGTTTTGTGCCTCAGCCCTGCTGGGGAAACAGACTTTATAGAAAAACGTGGTAAATGTCAAGATGCTGGGAGAGCATCTAAGAGATGCATGAAGAGTCACAGTAGTAAACAATCCTTAGACTGTAAAAAATCTGGAGAAGCTCTCACTTTTCAGGGACACAAGAGAGGTCAATATGGCCAGAAAATCTATGTGTGTGACGTGTGTGGGAAATCTTTCAGTTATTACTGCCAACTTAAACGGCACGTGAGAACTCACACTGGAGAGAAACCCTACAAATGCAAAGAATGCGGGAAAGCTTTTACTGGCATCTCACACTTCCGAGAACATGTGCGAATGCACACTGGAGAGAAGCCCTATGAGTGTAAGCAGTGTGGCAAGGCTTTCAGCTGGTGCACCTACCTTCGGGAACACATGCGAACACACAGTGGAGAAAAGCCCTATGAATGTAAGCAGTGTGGCAAAGCTTTCCCCTATCTCAAATCCCTGCAAGGACACGTGAGGATACACACAGGAGAGAAGCCTTATGTGTGTAATGATTGTGGGAAATCCTACAGTTGTCCTAAGTACTTCAGAAAACATGTGAAAACACACAGTGGAGTAAAGCCCTATGAGTGTACAGAATGCAGAAAAGCATTCATCACTTCTTCATCCCTTCGAGAACACATGAAAACACACAGTGAAGAGAAGCCTTATCAGTGCCAGCAGTGTGGGAAAGCCTTCAGGTATCCGAGATCTTTGCAAGGACACATGATAACTCACAGTGAAGAGAAACCGTACGAATGTCAGCAGTGTGAAAAAGCCTACAGGTGTCTCATATCCCTGCAGAGACACATGAAGACGCACACTGGAGAAAAATTCTGAATATGAAGACTGGTGGGAAAGCCTTCTCCCTTAAAAGCTTATAAATGAAGCAGTCAAGGGGGAGAAACATTATGAATGGAAAGAATGCAGGGAAAGCCTTCAGCACTTCATTTATTTTGTACTTGAAAACTCAGGGTAGGATGAATTTTTTTAATGGAAATAAATATAGTTTTTCCTTATAAATGCCTCATCTTTAATAGGGATCCCAGTGTATTAATTTCTAGTTTGTGTTGCTGATCTGAACCACTTAAGATAATAACCATCCCTCTATGTTCCCGTCATCTTTACTACTTGTGTGTTGTGACCCTGGACATTAAATACACAGTTATATACTACATGTCTCAATGTCATTACAATGTCTTTTGAACCCAGAGTGAAAGTCTTTTTTTTTTTTCTGATTTGTGTTTTTTTCTATGTGGTATCAGTTTAGATGAAAATATTTTTGATCTTTATTTTGCTAAATGTTCACAGTATGTGATCATAATATGATCATAATATTGTTGAAAAGTATTTTCTCATCCAGTTATATATACTGGAATTTCTTGACTCAGCATTTACCGTCCTCTGGAGTTTTTATACTGAAAGGTATATATCATCTATATTTCTTTTTTGCTAGTGGATACTATATCTGTGTTACTCACAGTTCAGTTCAGTCACTCAGTCATGTCTGACTCTTTGAGAGCCCATGAATCGCAACATGCCAGGCCTCCCTGTCCATCACCAACTCCTGGAGTTTACTCAAACTCATGTCCATCAAGTCAGTATGCTGGCATGGATGGATCCAGCCTCTGTCATCCCCTTCACCTCCTGCCCCCAATCCCTCCCAGTATCAGGGTCTTTTCCGGTGAGTCAGCTCTTCACATGAGGTGGCCAAAGTATTGGAGTTTCAGCTTCAGCATCAGTCCTTCCAATGAACACCCAGGACTGATCTCCTTTAGGATGGACTGGTTGGATCTCCTTGCAGTCCAAGGGACTCTCAAGAGTCTTCTCCAACACCACAGTTCAAAAGCATCAATTNAAATTGGACACAAAACACTTGAGTTAAGAAGAATGCCTTGTTGGCATGGAGATGAAAGCTGCTGTCTAGATGATTCTACTGAACTGTGTTGTCATCTTGGGTAAGGTAGGAAACTATATCCAGAGTCCTTCTGTTAGTGATTCTGAGTTAAAGTTCTTGAGAAGAGGAAGATGCATGAAGTCTGGAGCTGGAGTGAGGAAGCCATGATTCTCAGCTCTTCTGTACCATCAGGAGACAGAGCTGCAGGGCAGCCTGGTGGCCTGAGCTCCAGCACTGCTTTCTCACTTCTGGCTCTGCCTGTGTGGAACAGCCCCAGTCAGACACATGTTTGATGTAGCTTACCTGCTGGGCAGCAGTGTGGACTCTGCTCAGCAGTGTGGATAAGGCCCCTCATCATGGGTCCTCTTTGGTTTTCAGGATCATACAGTTCCCTGCATGTTCCTGTGGCTCTTTGGGGTCCATCAGGCCACTTCAGGCTTCAGAAGATCCCTCGGTAATTTTCTCGTATTATGTGGCCCTCTTCATGTCCAAGGATTCTAATTACATGATTTCTGTGGGAAGCATCTTATTCCTCTAATAGGGGATGTTTCCTTCTTCCACCATGGCAGATGTAATATGGCAGCCACAAATGTGGGAAACCTCTTCCTTTGGTTGCATTGTTGAGAGGCTGTAATGATGCTGCATTTGTTGTTTTGAATACTTCCATAATTGAGATAAGCACTTTTGCATATATTTGGCCCCTGTGAACATTTTCTCTTATAGATGGCTGCTCTAAATGATAAACCTACTATGTTTAATAGCTTTACATTTTTATATGAACTCTGCTATTTTCTGTTGTCAGATGTTTTCTTCACGTGTATGCTGCTGAGAAACTGACTCACTAGTTTTAGCCATGTCTCAATTTGAAACAAAAGAGAAAGGGAATTTATTCCCAATTATAGATTGAGACGGGTTTGGACCTGGGCCCCTTTGCTGCAGTGTTTTCACCCTAACATACATCTCCCTGGAACAACAGGATACAGAGAAACTACAGGGGAAACTAAAAATAACTGCACACATGAGCAGTTGGGGCAAATTACCAAGAACAAGATACAAAATGAACAAAAACCCAGCTGCCACTTACAAGGTATTGGGGTCAAAAGCAAGGTCCTATGCATGATCCCTACCCACACCCCCAGGGGGTGGGACCCACTAAGCCACTCAGGGCTGAACTCATGGACCTGCCCCCACCCTGACCCCTTTTAAGGGACCAGCCCACCACCCCTCCAGGATCCAGTGAGGGCACCTGTTACTTGTTTTCACTCCCTCCTTCTGCAGCTGGAGTCCCAGTAATTCAGTCCCTTGCCTGAATTCCTCATCTGGCCTCTTAGCAACTTCTGTTGAAGAGTCCAAGGACCTGAATCAGTAACAAAAATAAAAACATTAAGAAAATTGAATAAAATACGGTCAGAAAGAAAATGGCTAAATATGGCACATACAAAGCAGATGTCAGCAACTAATTACATCTTCATGTATAAACTGGTTCTCCACCAGGAGTAATTCTGCCCCTGGGGGGTAGGGGAGACTTTGGTAGTGTCTAGAGACAATTTTGAACATCATGACTTGACTGGGGAGGGGCTGCTACTGGAACGTGCCTAGGGGCTGGGATTGCTGCTCCACACTCTACAGTGCACAGGACACTCCCACCAAAAAGCCATCTGGTACCAAATGTTGAATCTGAGAAACCCCGGTGTATAAAAACTGAATCTGTAAAATAATATTGCAAATACCTCCTTGGCATTCCAATGGTTAAGATTCCCCACTTACAGCACTTCCAGTGCAGGGGCATGGGTTTGATACCTGGTCCCAGAGCCGAGATCCCACATGCCCCATGTTGCAAAAGAATTAAAAAAACATTGCAGGAAGAGGGGGAAAAAAGCTGGAGGTGACTATGCACAATATGATTGTTAACAGCAGTTTTTGAACACATTTAAAAAGAAATCTTATGTACACACACGACTACAATACAACATGTCAAATTAGAAATGGCCAACTCTATGGAGAGAGGAGGAGGAATTTACTGGTTTACAAATGTGTGTGACAAATATGGCTGAAAGATAAAATGTGTAATACTTCTCTACACTTTGAGTTATTTCACTAAAAAGCAAATATGTAAATAGTGTTTCATTGAGATTAAAGTATTACTTTGGATCTGAAAGAAAATCATTTCTCTCTGAAAATTCACAATAATAAGGGGACTCTCCTGGCGGTTCAACTCTGCACTTCCACTGCAGGTGGCACAAGTTCAGTGCTATGGAAAATAAGATCCCACGTGCTGCCTGGTGTGACCACAGGAAAAAATAATATGATACCTAATGAATATCAGGGGTTTTTCTGGCGGGTAAAGAATCCAACTGCCAACACAGGAGACCTGGATTCGATCCCTGGGTTGGGTAGATGCCCTGGAAGAAATGGCAACCCACTCCAGTAGTCTTGCCTGGAGAATCCCATGGACAGAGGAGTCTGGCGGGCTACAGTCCAAGGGGTCTCAAAGGAGAGGGACACGACTTAGTGACTAAACAATGAATGTCTGCTCCACATCGTGCATTACTTAAACAGGGTTTCTTGGTATCTGCTGTATTAAGCACTAGAGATAATTCTGAGTGGTAAGTGCAGCCCCATTCAGTATAGGGTGTTGAGAAGCACCCCTGGTTTCCACTAGATGCCAGTAACATCCCACCTTCACCTGTCACCTGAGAGAAAATGTCTCCAGGTAGTGTCAAGCCTGTGGGTGGGATGGGATAAAATTGCCCCAGGGATGAGAAGTCACTGCTTTAGACCATTCATTTGATACTAGTCTTTTCTCCAAAATCCATGGTCAAAACTGCTGTCCTGCTGCCTGCACTTACGGGGGTCTAAGGCTTTAATATGAGGATGACCACCACGATGACGAACTGACACTAAATAACACTTTACATCACACTCAGTACTTCCTAAATGCTGGTACTGTTATGTACGCTCGATATACAAACTACAGGCATCTTATCTTTGTGGTTCCCAAGGAAACAGGACCTGAGTCCACGATGCCGCCCTCCAGAGCCGACGTTACATTAGCATGTGACTTGCTTTGCTCTGAGCCAATTGAAACTACGCTGCATTTACATCTCATCTACATGCACACCCCCGAAATCCTAAAGTGGGTCAGAAAGTCTCGCGCCCCCAACCAAAACCACGGGGGTTGATTCCCGTGCTACCGGCCTCCAACCGACCAGGACTCGGCAATTCGAACTTCAACAACAGTTCTGCCCTTTGAACTGTGCCCCGCCCTTTGACGCATTCCCGGCACCGCCTGCCGTTCCTCCAGACTCGGCCGGAGCAGACACAGGGCCAGGCCTTGAGGTGGTGACAGGAAAATGCTCCCTCAGAGGAAGCAGCCTGGCCGGTGAAATTAACAGCAGTAGCTACCGCCGTCGCCGCGAGATCCCGGAACACCGCTCCTGCTTCCGGCTCCGGGGCTGCCGGTAGCGGAAAAAAAGGCAGGCCCAGGGCTTGGGATTGGTGGAGTCTCAAGGATGGGCTGGCCAACCGCGTCCTCCAATCGCCGAGCACAGAAACTTGACTTCTGGGCAGTTCATGACTGTGAGCTGTCATCTCAAATCACAGCTCACTGAGACGCGATAGGGCCCAGTGCCTGGCCCCGCCCCTCTCCGCCTCTGTGGGCGTGGTTATTACCCGGCTAGTGCCGGGCATCCCGCTTTATCCCTGAGCGCACAGGTTATTCTGATAAGGAACGGCCACTAACAAAAGCAATAAATGTGTAATTCTCCGAACACTTTCTTCATGCGAACACACGCCTATAGAAAACATTCCCGTTGTTGGAATGTTTCTTCCCCGAAAATCTATTTCTTCCAGACATGGGGTCATATTTTATTCGTTTCTCTACGTTTTACCTTTGTTAATATCAACTACGTTGGTGATAGCCCATCGTGGTCACTGGATGGCGACCTAGCTCGTGTTTTCACATTTGTGACTATTCTTTTTTTTGCACTGGGTGTACGCCGGAAAAAAATAAGCATGTGGATTCCTCAAAAAAAAAAAAAAAAGTGCTTGGAGAAGGAAATGGCAACCCACTCTAGTATTCTTGCCTGGAAAAGTCCATGGACAGAGGAGCCTGGAGGGCTGCAGTCCATGGGGTTATATGACTGAGCACGCGGGCATGAGGGTGGAGGGAGATGGGCTGGTAGCAATAAAGTGGTAGAACTAAAAAAATTTTTTTTAATTGCTCATTAAGCATTTCTGTATTCCAATCTCTGTTCTCTGCATAGGGGAAGAAGA